GCAGTTCCCATTCTATGAATTCTGCCCACTGCCCTGCCCTCATCCCTGAGAACCAGTACCTGTGATAAGAGATGTAACTGATGAAATCTGTAGCAGAGATGAACAGTCTGGATTGGGGGGTTGGGACAGGAAGGGAGGACAAGGCCCACCAGTTTCAGCCAGTTTAGGCCCTGATTTCATGTGTCCATATATGATAATGTTGATGAACTTGCATGCACTTGTATAAGCTAGTATAAAAGCCAGAACTTCTGAAATTCAATACATCTTTAGAAATTTAAGGAACATTTCATTTAATGATCACTAATTATCCCTAATCATGGCAAAACATTATGTGCTAAATATTTTTGTGAGAAAGTTAAATGGAAAACCAAGAATAAACATGCTTTCTGAATTTACTCTTAGTCTCGATATAGATGCTTTACCCCAATCCATAGATAATATCAAATTTAAAGAGTATAATCGTAGCTATCATCATGAGTTCAAGAACCCTTCAGATTTTAGTGGTACTCCCAACAAATCTGTTGTTTGACTTTACTCAATTCAAATTAGAGTTATCGCTAAATTTTCTTCCAAACAGTATAAATTTACTGGTCAATCTTGATATAAGTATACATGGAATTTTTACCATTTCAGTTGAAAGTATAAAAATACCATTTTTTTAAAACCTGCCATTTTGCCCATTATTAACACAGTTTTGGGAACTTTTTTTTTTAACTAAGATTTCAAATGTTAAAGGTACTCTCTGTTAGGAAAGCCCCTATTTTGTTTAGCCTTAATCTTCTAAAAATACATTAAACTCCGTATCCTTAATTTATCAAAATTATATTAAATTAAAAATGTCACTGTTAAAAGGAGGTTACAAGATGTGCACTTAAAAATGAAGCATCTTTGGGCTTCCCTGGTGGCGCAGTGGTTGAGAATCTGCCTGCCGTTGCAGGGGACACGGGTTCATGCCCAGGTCTGGGAAGATCCCACATGCCGCGGAGCGGCTGGGCCCGTGAGCCATGGCCGCTGAGCCTGTGCGTCCGGAGCCTGTGCTCCGCAGTGGGAGAGGCCACAACAGTGAGAGGCCCGTGTACCGCAAAAAAAAAAATGAAGCATCTTTGACTCTTCCCTAAGTGCAACTTGTTAACAGTTGTGTGTGTGCTTACACATATTTATTTTAGAAAATGAAGCAGGTGCAAACATGAATCCACAAACATACAATAAAAGTTCTATTTTCATATATGGGTCCATTAACCTCAGAAAACAAATTCTCATAAAAATAGGTATAGAATGAATTAACTTCTGCAAATTTATTCTTAAAGAGCACACAAATCCAATGATTTTATTGGTTCCCTTTTCAAATTCCTCGTTAAAGTCCCCCTGTGACAACTGACTCTCCGCGTGATGATTTCTACAGTATGATGAAAATTAGAGTGTGTAAATAATCCTTCAGTCAGTCGTAAGCATTTGCTATATATACATATAAAATCAAATTAAAACTCTCAACTTTGAGCCCTCACAGGTCAACAGTACCTGCTACATAAAGAGTAGCACAGCATGCTAATCTCCACGTGACACAAAGCGGTTACTTTTCATTATTAAAAATAACCATGGGTGTGTCGATAAGATAAGAACACTGCACTTAGCGGGAACCTAACTCGAGGTCTGTTGTTTGTGCCGCGTAGGATGCGGTTAACCGCGAGCATCATTTACCAAAGGGCAGCAAAGGGGCACAGGGACTGTCAGGTGTCACCTCCCCATCCACCTCTCAGAGTGGGCCAGGGAGAGGCAGGCTGCTGCCCACGGGAAGGGAAGGTGGCGAGGTTCACTGCAGCTCTGGCTGGTCAGCCTGCACTTCGCTCCCTGCGCAACGCACACACTCTACCGAAACATTGCACGGCAGGTAGGACCAAAACTGAAACACTCCTTTTTAGATCCCTGAGTGGGAACTCTAAACAGCGCTTCCGCTTTTTCCCACGCTCCCTGGTTCCTTTCTCCTCCGCCCCTGCCCACCCATCTCCCCCGGAACCCACCCTGGAGGCCCCAGCGCGCCGGCCAGCAATCCCTTCCTGCGGCGTGCCGTCCGCCTCCGGGCCCAGGCCCCGCCTCCGGGCCCAGGCCCCGCCTCCGGGCCCAGGCCCCGCCCTCACCTCGGCTCCACACTTTCCCGGGATCGCCCTGCGCCCCAGGCGCCCACTCTCCTCTTCCCCGCCCAGCCGCCTCCCGCCTTCCACGCTTCCCTTGGGCCCGCCTCACCTTGGTCCGGATCTGCCCCGAAGTGGACACTTTGCGGATCAGTTTCTGGGGTCCCTCTTGCTCCGCTTCGCTGTCGGAAGAATCCTCTCCGGGCCCGGCCGAGGCAGTGGCGGGGGCGACCGCAGCGCTGGCCGCGGCGGCCGCTCCTCCCGCGGCGCCCGAAGGGTGGTGCTGGCCGCCGGCCCCCGCCATCCTCTCCGACTCCTGCGGGGACACAGCACCGCCCTGCGCGGGCGGCGGCGGTGGTCAGTAGGTGTGCTCTGCTCGGGCCGGGCCCGGAGCCCCGCGCCCAGGCGCCGCCGCCATCTTCCCCTCCCCCAGCCGGCCCCGCGGGGGAAGGGTCGCGGGGGACCAGACGCCTCCCGCGGCCGGGGCCCTCCAGGATCCCGCGCTCCGCTCCCGCCTGAGTGGCGACCGCGGTGGGGCGCAGGGGACACGGACCCAGGCCCGCTGGGACGCCAGCGAACCCAGCCTCGGGATGTTACAGGGTTCCTGACCCGGAATACAACCGGCGCGGTAGAGAGGATGGGAGCGACAGAGGGATTGGGACAACCTCCCACTTCCCCTAGGGTCTGGGGTCCCCAGGACGGACGGGAGGGTGGGGGAGACGCGAAGCCTCCGCAGCCCATCCCCGCAGGCCCGGCAGTGGCGATGCTCCCTCCCTCGGTTCCCGGGCAGCAGGGGCAAGAACGGCCCCGGGAGTAGAAAGGGAACCTAGCTTCCTCCCGGCTCCCCTGGGTGCTCCCGCCACCTCCTGGACCCAGAATCTCTCCAGAGACAGTTGGGCCTCGCCGCACAGTTCCCGCGAGTAAAAGTCCCCTCCGGCCCCGAGTTGGATGGGCGCTGCCCCCTTGTCTGTCTCCGGACCCCGGAGCCCTTCTCGGCTGACCCGTACCTCTCCCGCCTCCGCCTAGGGGTTCGGGTCCTTTCAGCTCTCCCGACCGTGGCCTTTAGTTTCTGGCCCACCCCCACTCCCATCCGGCGCACACGGAAGAGAAGAGCATTTTCCGGGAGGTTCCACTCGTCTCTGAGAACTTTTGGTTCAGAAAGAGCGATCCCTTTGGCTAACAGGAAACTGGCCAGGGCGTGGAGAGCGCGCAGAGACAAGCAAGTACCCGCAGCCCGAGACGACAGAATGCAAAATAAATATCTAAGCTGAAGCGCTAACCGAGACTGCCTGGAAGAAAACAATGCACTAGAGCCGTGTGAACACCAGTGCCCGAGCACGAAAACATTGGAAGTCCTGGGAGAGCCACTCCCTAACCCGGACTAGAGCAGGAGGAAATGGGATCAACAGGCGGCAGGCACCGCTCACAGCTCGTCCCCCGCGAGCGGGTTGAGCGGACACTTGGGAATAGCAGCCTCGCGGTGCGTTGTGCACGCCCCGTGCCAAAGAACCCTTGTAGGTGTGGGAGGGCTTCCGGGAGAAGAGAATAAAATGACAGATTCCTCTTGTCGTCCACAGAGAATTCCAAACTGATGTTAGCTATATTTTTAAGTAGGGCAAAAAGTCCCTGCCAGACTATGCAGTCTCTTCACACTTAAGCATTCAGTCTCTTTAGCGTGTTCGTGCCCGTCAGGATTCATTCGAATTTTTTCAACTGACATGACCTTTGAGGGTCCTCCAGACTAAGGGAGGGATGTTTTAGTTGGGGTTTTTTGTTGTTGTTGTTTGTTTTTAGTTTCAGTCTTACTCTCAATAATTTGCTGTGACAGAAGAGATTTTTAGAAGCAATATGCAATCCTAATACTACTGTTCTAAGAGATTTTAAGAAGCAATATGCAATCCTAATACTACTGTCTATCCACACAGTAGATTAAATTGACTGAAATGTAAAATGTGCTGATTAGTTTGAATGTGCAAAGGCAGGGGATTGCTGCCAGGTAATACTAATTGATAAAGGCTACTTCTCTGGCCTCAGTTGTCTTCTTTAGGAAGGGAAGGAGGTGGCAAAATAAACTTTAAGAGCTCTTATGGCTCTGTAAAAATGCAATTCTATACCTACAAAGAACGTACTGCTGAGAAGGGAATTCTTTCAGAGAAAAAAATAATCAAAATAATGGCCTTTATCCCAACCCAACTGTTTGGTCACTGACAAGTCCAATGGTCTGACAATGTAAATAAGAGCACCTAGTAAAGGGCCTTTTGAAAGACTAAACCTAGTTCAGACCTCTCTTTTAATGTAAAGAACCTGAGGCCCAAAGTCACAAGCGGGACCAAAGTCAAAATCATGTGTCTTATTCTAATGTTCTATTCACCTTACCATATCATACAACAAAAGTTAGTCAATTATAATATGTTTCTGTTCACACTTTAGGCTTTAAAATTTTATATAAGTAACATTTTCCAGAAGCCAGGCAAAGAGTGATTAAAGGAAAAGGCATTGTTTAATGTCCGTGCCTATTTGTGATCTTAAAAAGAAGACTGAATACACTTCTCACTCTGATTCAAACACTGATCACTCAAAAATATTAAAATAGTTTCCCGTGCAAAAGCTGGGCAATTAATGCTTCAAAGTAAAGGTATTCATTACTTCATAAAAAATTAACCTCACAGTTATCCCTGCTCTTCAAAGTCTCCTGTAACAAGTTCTAAAATTTGGTTGTGACTTTGAAACCACAGCCAGTCTTAGCCTGCTCATGCTAAATAAATGATCCCTGCTCTACAATTTCCCTAGCACATGCTCAGAGTGAAATACTGTGTAAGCAAGTGAAGGAATGTTGCATCATTTCCCACAAAAGGCAGCTCGTGAAAAACCCTCTTTTCTTCAATCATCTCTTCTGAGGAACTGTTTCAAATAATCCCAGATTTAAAGTAGCTGACCCACTAGCAACTTCGCAGGTCTTCACTGTAAAATTTCCAGAATCAATATTTAAGCTGTATATTGTATACTTGCAATGCACTTCGCTTCCCTTAAAAATATAATAGCAATGTCAAGAGCTCAATATTTGCAACCATTTTAATGTACCTCAAAATAGCAACTAAAACAAATTTCAAATATGTGGCATATTACATTATTTCTTTAATTTACAAGATTTCCTTGAATTTTTCCTTACTTGGTGTTTTCAGATTTTCAAATAATTTCTTAGATGTGTCTTACATATTTATTATTATTACTTTGAAATCTTTGTTTAGAACACAACATATCACAAACACACTATTACAAACTTGGACATAAGCCACATAGACACTACATTCAAAAGGAAATGGAAATAGAAGCTACCACTAAATTAGGTTTAGGTTTCTACTTAACAGGGCTTTCTGTCCCATTAAAAAAACAAAAAAAAAAGAACTATTATATTGAAGATGTATAAGTTAGAGCCAATTCTCATTCTGAAACCAACTTTATGAATATTAACACAATATCTATAGAGATTTTTTGAATTACATTCTTATTGATCACTACTCATAACAAGAGGTTTAATATCCATTTGCAACTTTTAAATCTCATGTTCTATGGTTTTACATTAAATATTATATCAAACATAGAGAAGTCTACATTTGTGTTCTGAAGAACCCAAGTACATAGGCACTTTAAAAAGAGTTAGGTTCTAGGACTCGAGTTTCTAATCAATGGGAGCCATGCAAAGAACACTGCAGGTTGAACAGGTACAGACCTGCTTTCATTCAAACTTTAAAACTGCTTCCATAATACACTATTCCACATTTAGAATTTAACATTCAAAACTTCATTAAAATTTCCTTAGTTGTTACCTCAACGAAAAATATTTCAAAATTAATTGTGATATCAATTCCATGTACATATGCTCATCACTGTACCTAAGGCAAAAAACCTTTGGCCATCTAGGCTTAATACATAAATATACTTGTAAACTCTCAGTTATGTTTTGGCCCTTTTTCCTTTGAAACTCTTCCCTTCCTAATTTTTCAGTAGTTCTGAATAGTTTCACCAGAGCCAACTAGATAAAAATCATTTGGAAATAAAAATAAATTTTAACAAGTAAAAGGTACTCTAGTATCCCTGCACTGTTTAAGAACTACTTTGTAAATACTCCCACACTCTTCTAAGTTCTGGCTAGAATTCTAACTATCCATTTTCCCCCAGGATATTATCTACAAGTAAGGGCTGCTTGGCTAAATATCTTCCTACCCACCTATTTCCAAAGTATTTTTTAATTAATTAGAAATTTAGGTAATGTCTCTGCTTCCACTGATTTCATTACATTCCAGACCTAGCACTAAAGAAAATACACAGACACCAGAATGCTAACATTTATCTTCTTGTAGGCCCAGTGCCCTAGATGGACTAATGATAAGGCTAACAGTTTATTTAAATGCCCTCACTTAACTAAATAACTTCATTTCATCTCCATGTACAAAAAAGTCACGATGGCCAGCAGCTGCTTCTCAGCTCCAGACATGGGTGCATTTCAAGTTAGACTTGCCGTTCTCTTTATTATTACTCAGCATCGATTCCTGATACTATGTTCACTCTTCTGTCAGAATAGTTCTATGTAGAATCACATCATTTTGGGGTCCGGCAAAAAAGGATAAGGAAAGTAAATCCTTACATGTATGCTGGCATATACAGTAAGGGATAATGCAACAGGATCTGTGTGCTGTGAATACTGCCTGTTCAATACTGAATATTCCTTTTCATAAATGTAAATGAGTATACTTTTAAAGTATTAAAGTTGCCTATATTTGAATTTAAAAAGCAGATTTTAAATGACAGCAAAATGGAGTCCAGATCAAAGCAGATGTTCTTAACCCAAGGTCTTTGAGGGTCCACAGATTTGGTTTTGGGAATTCTGCGATTCCCTTGAAATGTTATTAAATTTTTATATGTATGTTGCATGCGTACATTTTGGGGAGAAAGAGAGTCCATAGCTTTGATTAGATTCTTAAAGGGATCATTGATCCAAGAAAAGTTCAAGAATCCCTGATTTTGATGAAATTTGTTTTGAAAGGAAAACTGTCCTTCAACATACGTAGATTAAGCTGATATTTCCCCACTTAGCTCCACACGTCTGAAATAATTAACATTTAATACTCTATTTCCCCTAATTTACCCCTTCTTTTTTCTTGTATACGCCACTTTTCAGTAATTTGGATAACTTTTCTAAGAAATTAAATGAGAATCCCCTTTATTAGTTCTTAGACTTTGTGTCAGACATAGCTGGCCACAGGGTTTCAAATAAAATCACTTTGTCAAAAGTATCATTTTATACCACACATGAGATCTCTGAAGATTTTTTTTTTGGACTCTCTGAATGTAAACTATTAATATGTATGAA